TAGCGAGGTCTTGTTAATATTTGTCAACCCTCACTGATACAAATGCAGTGGTCAAATATTAAAAACACCTCTAAATGTAATGCAAAACAATATAACAGCACCACAGTCTACAGCCTCCACAATGACCACTGAGTTGAATATAAAAAAAAAAGACATTGTAATCGTCATAAAAGTAGTCTTTATGACAGGGCTGTTGAACTAGCCCACATTAGTTTTAACTAGGTGTACAAAACACACTGGTAACTAGGCGACTATGTTGTGTATTTTGTTAACAAATCTCTTTGTACCTTGATCGCAGGTACACCACCGGCTGTTGGATCAGGTCAAATGACCGGTGCCTCACTTAGCACTCAATGTTAAGTCTATGTACAATTATTTTCCTTATGTCAGGAAGTATTGTGTTACTTAAAACCAGTGCAGTTACAACCAAGCCTTTTGTACATACAGGATAAAATAAGTAAGGGAATATATGGAGACTCTTTTTCAACAACAACATCTAGCCTAACCTTTACAATACAAGAGCAAACAACACAAGCAAGCCCTACAAGCGGGTTAACATTGCTCAATATACAGTATGTGTACATACAAGACACATTAGCTCTGGGAATATTAGCCTAAACACACAATAACACCCAACTGCAGACTGGCTTGTACTAACAAATAACTATAAAAAAAATAAGTCATTCATTTTAATCTATCAGCATGAATGTGGCCGCCATATCTAACTTAAGCCTTTAGTATTAAAGCAGTGTTTCATTTAAACAAGCACTCAGTAGCGTGGAGCCATTTCCTAAGAGAGCAGTTTTCCGGGTTTGGCTTAAGTGCTAGTCAGGAAGATGCGAGAGGACAGCAGAAAATAGCCAACGCTCACTAGCTTTCATCTTCACATGACACACAAGTTGTAAACGGTCACCTACACACCGGCTTTCGCTTTACCCTCGTTGAATAACAGCTAACAAAACCCCCCAAAGCTGTGCGACCTTCACAGCAATTAATATTTAACGTTACAATTAGACATTGTTGGCAGTTACGCTACATCATCAGTAAACACCACGGTGGCTATCCTGGTGCTAACTGGGTTAGCCGCAAAGCAAATAAACACACAAAAACAACACACGGGCTTCAACACTTGTGTCACATGGATTCTTAGCGTAAATATTCGAGACAATTCAACTTCTACAACTATCCCAGTAACGTTTCAATGTCCAGTTTGGGTTCATTTCGGACCACAGCACGACTGCTAGCTGGTTAGCTGCCAGCTAGGCCACACACAGGACACACTAGCTAACCTGGCGAGGCAGAACCCAGCCGTGGCAACACACGAACCACACGGGATCCGAATCAGACCAGCTCTCACCACGACGTCCCGACCACATTAAGGCCTCCTCGGACACGTACATGTGCTCGGTGTACTTACTGTTAAGTGTGACGGTGGGATCGCAGGGTTTCGGCTCCTAAACAGTTAAATATGACACATTTGATTGATCCGGAGGGGGGGTTCACTTTGTTGCTTTTGTCTCCTGGTTAGCTAGCAGTTCACGTTCGGCCGGAGCAGCTCCACACAGCGTCGGACGGAAGGAACATGTTTTAATGATGTCACCGGGCGCAGGGTCCTCAGCATGGTGACGGGGAGGATGTGTCCCCACACATCCTTATTTCTTTACTATAAAAACTAATAATACATGGATAAGAGAATCAATACAGAGGGGCACGATTGACAAATCTGCTTCTATTTTTGTTTGGAATATTTTGTATATTGGTGTAGTATGGGGGAAAAAACATGGGTATTATTAACCAGGATTTTCTTTTATGTTTGAAATAGGTGTCATTATTATTATTAATTAACAATAATTATTAATATTATTAATTATTATTTATTTATTTATTTATTTATTTGGACAGAAAATGAAATACTCACATTTGATGTTTGTGATTGTGAACAAAATCTAATTTACTTTATTATTTTATGTATTTATTTTTTGAGAATGTGTCTTTAGTCAGACTTTTTTTGGGGGTATGACATGTTTATTATGATTATTATTATTATTATTATTTATTTATTTTATTTATTTTTTGTTACAGAAAATGAAAGGCTCATATTATATACGACAAAATTTAAATTAATTTATTTATTTTATTAATTTATTTATCTTTGGAGAATGTACCTTTAGTGAGACTTTTCTGGGGTATGACCTATTTATTATTATTTTTTTTTTTAACATAAAATGAAATGCTCACATTAGATACAACGAAATTGAATTTACTTACTTTTTAAGCTAAATGTTGACTGTTTTTGTTCCATATGCCACAACAGAGAAAAGACAAATCATCTTTTTGGAGACTGTACCTTTAGTCAGACTTTCTGGGGGTTCACAGTAGCAGTAGTAGCAGTAGTAGTAGTAGTAGTAGTAGTTCACAGAGAATGAAATACTCACATTTGATACAACAAAATTTAATTCACTTCATTAATTAATTAATTAATTTATTTATTTGGAGAATGTACCTTTAGTCAGACTTTTATGGGGGGTATGACCTGTTTATTATTATTATTATTATTATTATCATTTTTTTATTTGAATTTTAATTTATTTTATTTTTTGTTACAGAAAATAAAAGGCTCATATTATATACAACAAAATTTAATTTACCTCATTATTTTATTTTATTTATTTTATTAATTTATTTATTTTTGGAGAATGTACCTTTAGTCAGACTTTTTGGGGGTATGACCTATTTATTTTTTTTATTATTATTATTATTTATTTATTTTTTTTTTTTTTAACATAAAATGAAATGCTCACATTAGATACAACACAATTGAATTTATTTAATTTTTAAGCTAAATATTGACCATTTTTGTTCCATATGCCACAACAGAGGAAAGACAAATCATCTTTTTGGAGACTGTACCTTTACTGTACCTAGTCAGACTTTCTGGGGGTTCACCTGTTTCTTACTAGTATTATTATTATTAGTAATTAGTAGTAGTAGTAGTAGTAGTAGTTCACAGAGAATGAAATACTCGCATTTGATACAACAAAATTTAATTCACTTCATTAGTTTATTTATTTATTTGGAGAATGTACTTTAAGTCAGACCTTTTTGGGGGGTATGACCTGTTTATTATCATTGTTATTATTTATTTTTTTAAGAAAATGAGATTGTCACATTTGATACAACAAAATTTAATTTACTTTATTTGTATTTATTTATTCATTTATTTATGTATTTATTTACTTACTTACGTAACCAGACAGTCCCACTGAGATTGAAAATCTCTTTTACAAGAGAGACCTGGTCGAGGCCAATCAGAAGAACACATTTTAAATCCAGCAAACACAACATACAACACAAAAACCCACAATAAAACAACAACTATTCAAACATAGTGGCCTCTCAAGAAACACAAGCACATGTCTCCATCACCACATTCTTTATGATGCCGTTAAATTCATCAATAGATATAAGTGTTTCTTATTTGAGATGTATTTGGAGATTGTTCCATGTTTATGGTGCAGAGTAGCAGTTTTCCCCAGATCTGTTAAAACCTGGGTACATTAAAAAGCATCCACCTGGAGGAGCGTAACTGGAAACTGCCAGAGCTGATACACAGAAGGGTACAGAAGTAGGCAGGAAGTTTATCCAATATTGCTTTATAGATAAAAGTATAAGATGAAAACGAAAACAAACTCAAAATCTGTGAAGACTATAGCCTCATGTAATGAGTTTGATTTGCAATTAATTTATTTTAATGTTGTTTATATATAACACAATGCTACTTCTGATTGTTATATCAAATTCAATATAACATTGATGATCGGGTGCATCCTGTTTTAGTTCATTTTTAGTAACTCCTCTACTTATGTTACTCCTATTATTACTCTATAAGGCACTGGTTTTTGCTTTTGCTCCTTGAAAACACTTCTTATATTGTATATTTTGCCACATATTTAATACTCTGTTGTTCTAAAACTGGGCCCAGTGAGTGACCCTGACCCAGGGAACCCACTGGTTGTCTGGTTGTTACTGGTTGTGAACGTTAAATTGTGCTTATCATACTTAGTGTTACTGTAATTTAAAGCATTCTTTGGCACAAGAATTTCCTTCAGGATAAATTAAGTTCTACTACACTGAATTGAATTTATGTTTGGCCATTATTTTTTATCTCTTCATCTTTTTATGTACAATTTTTTTATTTTCATTGTGTAAATAAAGCATTATGCTACATGAAATGGTGCATTACTTACTTACTGACCTGACAAGACCAATTGGTCTATTGTGATTTGTTACTTTAACAAGTAACAAATGTTATAGCCTATAACAGTGTACTCCCCCACTTGCCCACCCAAAAAAACAAACAAAAAAAAACAAACAAACATGTAAACACGAGAGTCACACAGGAGTCATTTACACCATAAATTGATGCAGAAAAGAAGTAAATTGGTGCATAAACAATTTCTAGAAAGCATGAAATTACACCCTTGAAGCATAATAGTTACGTTCACTAAAAATATAGAATAATAATTGTTATTATTATTAATATACAGTCATATTCTTAGCAAACAAAGAAACAGAACATTAGAGATATATACACCATAAATTTATACAGAAAAGAAATAAATTGTTGCATAAAAAAAATATTAAAAAAGCATGAAATTACACGCTTGAAGCATAATAATAATAGTTATAATAATAATAATAATAATAATAATAATGATAATAATTATTATTATTATTATTATTATTAGTAGTAGTAGTAGTAGTAGTAGTAGTAGTAACAGTTTATAATGATGATAATAATAATAATAATAATTATTAACTGATGATAATTGTACTACTACTAATAATAATTATTATTGTTATTATTATTATTAGAAATATTAGCGAACGTAACAAAAAAAATAACTTAAGTGATGATTATTTGTTTATTTAAAACAATAAAAATCGACATCCCATAATGCAGCTTGTTACTACAGAGTAATTACTGCTCACTGACTCAGTTACTGCTGCTGTGTGTTGCATTCATGGTCACTCTGGAACAGGAAACAGCAGCATAGTAATTATATGATTATATCACCACAGTTCGTTAAACTGCTCTAACCGACGGCTCTCATGGCCTTAAGAATAGCGTTTGGGGCGAACTGGTCACCAGGGTGGGGCATACTGGTTTGTTGTTGCTCTGCCTGTGTCCCGTGACAATCCTCTGTGACGAGACGAGAAATGCTGAATCAATAGCCCGGAGCATGACAGACAGTCACACCAGTCTGAAACTCATTTCCCGATCCGAGATAGTTGTGTCTCTCAGCTTTCACCCAGACACTGCTACTTGCGTTTTGTACGGAGCTTTGTCTGCGTACAGCTAGTAAGGGTCGACAAAAGGCAACGCATTGATTGTGACAGATGGGCTTTTGTGTGAAATCTACGACTCACCACCAACATGACCTCCAGCGTCACACGTAGAGTAGTGCGTACGGGTGGGAGTTGTCTGCTGAAACGCATTGTTGTGTTGGGGGATGAGCCGTCCGTGCTGCTCGCGCTGCTGAGTGCTCCTGGTCGGCTGTGGCTAGCCAGCGACTCTAGCCTATGAATGGTCCACAAAGCAGATAACCGTGTGTTCTCTGTTGAATCCAAAACCGAAACTTCACGGGCACCAAGCTGGCCTGTTTCTTATTTTACTAGTAGCTGAACAGAGCCCAGTATCGCCCGTTGGATGAGAACACTGTGTACGGAATTAGAGCCACTTAGCAGGCCATATCGCCATTGCTTTGTACGGCTGCTGGGTAGCTACCGTCTTCCTCAACTAGCAAAACTGTGCGTGAACCCGAGGTATGTTCTTTGGCTTTGTTTGGTTTTCTGTGCTTTGTGCGGAGACGGAAGAGAAAGCGTTCAGTGCATGTGCAAAATGTGTGTTTAATTTTACACATTTGGTTTGAATTTTAAGGCGCTCTTGTCTTGTTTGACGCCATTTGCTCCGTTTAGGGGGGTGGCTAGCTCGTTTAGCTAGTTAGCAGGCGAGCTAATGTTATTGTTAGCAACTTGGCCACTTTGACTGGGAGTCGTTAAAGGGAATTTCATCTCTGCACCAAATGGGCAAGTGCTAACTCCTGCGCAGTCTTGTTGATAGTGGCCTGTGTGGCCGCTTCCCACTGCATTTAAATGCACCAGCTCATTGACAAACTGTAACGTACAGCTGGCTGCAACCCTTATCAGTTTACTACACTGATAGTGTCTGCAGTGTAAAGCATCAATGAACCACCTTTACTTTGCTTTCATGGTCACCAGGTTAACTTTAAAGTTATTAAAGTAAAATGCATTAAAATCTCACACAGTTAACACAGTTAAACTTTCCCTGTATAGTGATCCAGGAGACATTGGGTTAAATTACAGGACCTTACCTTTCAGTGTAATGCAGGTACATTATCATAGCAATCAGCAGAGGTGGGACCAAGTCACTGTTTTGCAAGCTACAAGTGTGTGTGCTCGAGTCCTGATCCAAGTCCCCAAGACAGACAAGTCCCAAATAAAGTCCATAGTCAAGATTCACAAGTCATAGCTTTATTTATATAGCACATTTCATACAACAAGCATAAACCCAGTGTGCTTAAGATACATCATACATTAAACAAGCAGGACATGATAAAAACAAACAAAATAAGTTGTTATTATTATCGTCATTCTTAAAAGAGGGGAGATACTTACCATAATAATACTAATTCCTAAAACAAACAAACAAAAAAAATCATTAAAAAAAACCTAACTAAAAGCTTGTGAGAAAGATACATTTTTAGTTTGCATGCAAGTCCTAGATCCTCTACTTTGAGCTACAAGTCCTAAACATGATAATGCACTCTTTATTAAATGTAATGTCATTTTAACATCAGAGTTATATTGCATTAAGTTTATAAAGTTGAATTAATTGTATTTATTTGCTAAAATAATAAGTTTGTTGGACGTTGTTTAGTCTCTGTCGGTAATTTTCAACCTGCACGTTTTGCATTCTGCTGTTTTTTTTGTTCACCACTGCATAGTTTTTGGATGCAAATGAAATTATCTTTGGTTTTATAAGGATACAAGGCAATGACAGGTCAGTTTACTTAGTATGAAAGTCCATGGTACGGGCCAGCCAGTCCAAAATGCATCCAAGGTAGGCTGATGGAGGTAAAAAATTCTATATTAATTCATGGATAGAACAACATGTCAATCAGAGGGCCTCGGATGCATTTTTGGATCAGACCTTTAAGTGACACAGTGTCTTGATCCAGTGTGACATTCCCTTCTTTTTTCTTTATTATCTTGAGTGTAATGTCTTCCATGTTGCGCCTGGTAACATAAGATTAGTTCTTCATGGTTCTCTCCTGCAACTTAATTGACTGCTGTCAGATTGGTTCAAACTAAGTGGATCTGGGGAATTGAGTTTAGACTTGCAAGGAATTAATAGGGTTAACATTAGTCGATTCAGGAAGTGAAGGGAAATAAATTGATTAATTGCACACTCATTAAATAATATACTCTTGATCTTTGGGCTTGGGGAAAGGTATCAAGTATTTTCATGTCAAAGGTTCAAGTGGGAAGTCTTTTTTGATTTTGTCAAATCAAATCTAAAGTTATCGAATTTGTGTCTCCACTCAGACTTGATTTAAAGTCATTTGAGTCACGTCAAGTCAATGGATGAGTACATTATCATGGTCTTTGTTTTTACTGACCCCTGAAAGGAAAGCTCCTCCTTCTTCATCCCAGTGAATTACATGCAGAGCTCTAACGGTTTACCCTGTGTATCCACAGCAACACGGAGCGCCAAGATGAAAAAGAAAGCTCGGCAGCACCGTGTTGCGGTGCAGCAGAGGCCGCCCTCTCCTATCAAGCCTTCCCCCAACAAGCAGATCCTGACTTACGCCCAGGCACAGCGCATGGTAGAGTTCGATGTCGATGGCCGCCTCCATCGAATCAGCATATACGACAGGCTGGACGTGGTCTCGGATGATGACCCCCTGATGCAGGAGATGATGGAGTGCACCAGCAATAAGGAGAATACTGAGAAACCACAGCAGCAGGTCCTCCTGAGGTCCGTCAGGCTAAAAAACAACCAGGAGAAGAGAAACGCTGCGCTGGGCATCACCAGTCATGGAGAGGGAAGTGGACATCAGGCTGCTGGTAATCCCGGTCCAAAACTTCAAGAACCTAAATTTCGTACAGTGGAGTATAACCTTCCAGCAGTTCCCAAACGCTCATTTGCCTTTTACAAATACACGGAGAAAACGGAGGAAGAGCTGGACGAGGAAACTGAGTATGACATGGATGAGGAAGATTATGCCTGGCTGGAATTGGTGAACGAAAAGCGGAGAAGTGAAGGGGTCAGTCAGGTCTCTCACAACGTCTTTGAGTTCCTTATTGACCGCTTTGAGAAGGAGTTGCACCTGGAGAGTCTGGATCAAAGTAGCGAAAAGCAAGCTCCCATCGATGAGGACGCCGCCTGCTGCATCTGCATGGACGGAGAGTGTCACAACAGCAACGCCATCCTGTTTTGTGACATGTGTAATGTGGCCGTTCACCAGGAATGTTACGGTGTGCCCTACATTCCTGAGGGCCAGTGGCTATGCAGACACTGCCTCCAGTCACCCAACCAGCCTGCAGACTGCATCCTTTGTCCCAACAAGGGTGGGGCAGTGAAAAAGACAGACGATGACCGCTGGGGTCACGTGGTGTGCGCCCTCTGGGTCCCCGAGGTCGGCTTCTCCAACACCACCTTTATCGAACCAATCGATGGTGTCAGCCACATTCCTCCAGCCCGCTGGAAGCTCACCTGCTACCTCTGCAAGGAGAAAGGCGTGGGGGCGTGCATCCAGTGCCACAAGGCCAACTGTTACACCGCCTTCCACGTCAGCTGCGCCCAAAAGGCTGGCCTCCATATGAAGATGGAGCCAATCAAAGAGGTAACGGACACCGGGGAACCCACGTTCTCTGTGAAAAAGACGGCCTACTGTGGAGCTCACACACCTAACGGGTGTGTGAGGAGGCCTGTTGCAATATACGATGATGCCAAACCCAAAAATGGACTATGTAAAAAAGTGGACAAAGGAAGAGGTAAAGGACAGTCAAAAGGAAAGAAGAAGAGTAAGAGTAAGAAACCTGAACCTGAACCAGAACCTGAAAGTGAAGCTGCGACCCCTGCTACTGTGCCTACGTTTCCTTCTCACAGGTACGAGTTGTGTCAGTGATGGGAGATAGTGTTTGTAATGCATTGATGTTTGGCATGTGGGTGGTGGTACAGAGAGGGGTTTCCTATCTTTCTGAAGGGCACTGAAAGGACATTCGGTTGTTGATGTACAAACACCAACGTCTACAGGGTTTGCGCCTGTGACACTCGTGAATGTTTGCCTTTTACAAACACAAGCTTCAGTGATTTGCCTGGCTGCATTTTGGTCTGCTTTAAATGCCACTCAACTGCTGGTTAAAGTTTGTCTGTGGCTGCTTGTTGTAATATTACTCTGAAAACCACAACCACATGTAACCTGCCACTGTTCCCACACCCGTCTCCCTGCCTCCCACAGGTTACAAACCATTCTGAACCAGGTGTCAGTCCAGAAGAAGAAAGCATTTGTGGAGCTGGTCCTAAATTACTGGACACTGAAGAGGCAATCCAGGAACGGGCTTCCCCTCATCAGACGGCTTCAGACAAGCATACAGTCTCAGAAGCATGCACAACCGGTTTGTTTATCTGTCATTCAACCACAGCAGACTTTCAGTATTTAGTTGGGATTTTACCAGAGCACCAGAAGATTTTAGAACTTGAAATATGTTTTTCACACAGCCAGTCATTTACGTACATTTTCTTAAAGGAGCAGTGTGTAATATTTAGGGGGATTTAGTGGCACCTAGCACTTAGGATCGCAGATTCCAAGCAGCTGCAACTCCTCTCAAAAACCAACAGACCAGGGGTCTCATCTATAAAACAGTGTGTAGGATCCATACTAAGAATTTACGTACAGACAAAAGCCAAAAATGGCACTAAAAAATATTTGACAATTTCTATACTCACCTTTTTACTCTGATAACTTAAGATCCAGATGTTCAGGAGGTTTTTACTGGCAGCTGAATTATCCACAGAGGTCTCTTCCCCTCCAAAACAAATAGAACCAGTGATTAAACCCAGCGAAATCACTGTATAAAGCAGTTTCACGTTAAAAAAAACAGTGTTTTTCCAACACTGCTTATCGAGAGATGATCCGAGGTGCCCAATTTTCTGCCTTGTAGGGTAGTCATATTGGCAGAACCCTTCTAGTTTAAATAGACCGAGGCGGCCTTCCACAATGGGAGGGGGTGTTGAAGACTTGTAGGAGGAGCTGTTGATGACGCTGCACGTGCGAGCCACTGGCGGTGGATAAACAGGAAACAGCTGATAGCAGGAATTAGCTAGCAGCTAGTAGCAAGAGGGAAACACAAACCTGACAGACACTTTAAAGATGAGCAACTGGGGAGACAAGGAATTGCGCTCCCTCCTTGCCCTCGCAAACGAAGAGGCCATTAACCGTCAGATGACGGAGACGGTGAAGAATGGGCCGACTTACGAGAGCAGCATTTTGCCGCACTCCCCAATTTTGTTTTTATACTGCCAATGCTGAAAAAAGGCTGATTGGGCTTTCCCGTAAATTTGCACAATTCCTATCTTAAAAGGGCTTGTGGTTCCCAATTGGAAATGGCGAATGGCCCTGTCTAGAACCAGTGTTCGGTTTGTTTTTTCTGGGCAATTGTAGAAACATGGTGGTGCAACTTGAAGGACATTGTGGACGAAGTCCTTTTACCTATGTACAAATAAATGGCTCATTTTAAGTTAACGAAAACACAACGATTCCTACTTTCAGGTGATGATACACTGAGGAAAACATACGTGTTATATTCAATTCTACCATATCTATCCCCATAAATCCTACACACTGGACCTTTAAGCTTTTTTACATTTAAATATAATACGCCTAGTATGCTTTACAACATGTTTAGCAGGAAACTAGCATGTATACACACAGCGTTAGCAGCAGTAAAAAGATGTTGTAAAGCATACTATTATATTATTATTATTGGTTCTGTTCTGTAATTATTGTATTTTTATTTCATTTTTCTCTCCAGAGGCAGAGCGAGGAGGAGAGCAGGGCATTGAAGGAACAGCTGAAGGAGTGGCATCGTCTCCGACACGACCTGGAGAGAGCCCGGCTGCTGCTGGAGCTAATTCGCAAGAGGGAGAAGCTCAAGAGGGAGGAGGTAGGGAGCGGAGGGATCAATGGATAGACTTGTGACTTAAAGTGCAGTCAGATAAATGAAACAATCTGATCTTCTAATGGTTTCTCTCTGTGCTGTGTTGTAGATTAAACTGCAGGAGGCCCTCCTGGAGATACAGTTGAGTCCCTTCAGTATTTTGCTCCGAGCTCTCTTGGACCAGCTCCAGACGAAAGACCAGGCCAAGATCTTCACCCAGCCGGTTGATGTCAATGAGGTGAATTTTAGTTTATATTTGGTCACTTTTTTAAAGTTTTGTTGTTGGGTTTGTCCGCACATGAACTATTATATTGTTTGTTTTTTCGTTGGATGCAACACTTTCACCCTGATGTTTTACCTTTAGAAGAAGTTTAATACTATAGCACAATATGCTGCAGTACAATCTTATTTCTTACATTTCTTAAGGAATGATTTGTTTGTTGTTTTGCAGATGTGCTTTATCTCAGTCTGTGGTGCTTTTATGTTATTTATTGTGCAATAGTGGAAAAGTGGAGCACTGTAGCAGGGGGCTCATTGTGGGGGTTCCACCAAGAAAACACAGATAGTGCTGCAGAAAGCTGATTCTGTCGATTTGTTGTTTGACTCTCAGGCAGGGAGTTAGGAAAGAAAGTAACTGCTGCCATGACAAACTTTTTCAAGAGACCCCAATATCAAAATATTTTACCTTGTGCCTGTAGTGCTATTTATCAATCTAGATTATTTTGGGGTGAGTTGCCGAATGTTGGAGATGTCAGCCGTAGAGATGTCTGCCTTCTCTTGAATATAATGGAACCACATGACACTTAGCTTGTGGTTCTTAAAGTGCCAAAAATCCATTTGAAAATCTCAACACCAATGTCTCTTTCCAGAAATTATGAAACAGTAACTCAGGATAATCCACATACCTTGTTGTGAGCATTTTTTTGTCCAAGGTACACCCTCCAACTGTATCACCGCATAGAAGGAAGAGTGCATCTACTGCTAGTTCACCTAGCATTACTGAGCTAGCTAACATCACAGCTCCGCCAAGGAGGACGCCATTAATTTTTACATCTCATGCTGTAACAAGCACAAGCCTCTTTGACATGAGTAGATGCACACTTCCTTCTGCACGGTGATTCAGTTGGTGGGTGTAGTTCGGTAGAAAGAAAATAGTTCCTACATGAAACTGCTCACAACAAGGTCTGTGGCTTATCTTGAGTAACCAGGTCATGATTTCTGGAAAGAGACATTGCTGTTGGATTTTTGGGTGAACTGTCCCTTTAAGAGGTTTACAGTCCTGCTTTAAATAAGTACGAGGACTTACACTGTCTTTTAGAGACTTTGTGTCTGATAAGGCTCCAAACTGGACTTACTGGTTCACACTCCAGCACAAGACTTTGCGTTTTGCTTTTGTTCTATTGTCAAGATAAAAGCCTACTTACAGTGAAACAGTGTTGTTCCTGTTTTTCTACCTGTTTGTCAGATAACTGCTTCAGTGGTGTTGAAATAAACAAGTAGGCTACCTAATTTGAACTCTTTTTCTGCTTCCTCATAGTGGTTTCTATTTTGGCATCTAGGACAGGGCAACACAGAGTGTGATCTTGTTAAATATCAAGTAAATGATGAGAGCCCTGACACCCCAAGAAGACCTAAAAAATTACCACTTATAAGCAAGAGTAGTTAGAGCCTTTGCTTTCCCGTTCCTCACCACGTGTTAAAACAGTTTCACTTGAACACACCGCAGAGACAGCAGCCAGCTCTGCAACTGCTCACTCCATGTCACACACTCTGCTCAGTGACTCAGGTTGTAAATGAACACCCCCTCTCCACCTCCACCTCATATGTGGATAGTATTGAGCAATGTGACTTCCTGTTAGGTGGAATGTGTAACATGAGATTAAGGTCCACTGGCAGATGGTGACGTCCGAAAAAGGTGGAGGGTTACTCTCTGTGCAAGCCCGGCTAGCTCAGTCGGTAGAGCATGAGACTCTTAATCTCAGGGTCGTGGGTTCGAGCCCCACGTTGGGCGCAGCTTTTGACTCTGGAGTCTTGTACAGTGTTAGCAGATTGTCCTGGCTACTGAGCATGTGTTTTAAGTGTGTTACTGGCATTGAGGCTTCCAAGTGTTAAGACTTAGTAGTGATCAGTGTTGATGTAGTTCACAGTCTCTAAGAGACTTTAAAGATCTTCTTGAAAGTCATGCCGACCTTAATGACGTAAGACACCATAAAATAATCATCTTTGATCAAAAATGTTGATTTGACATGCAACATCCAGTGATATTTGCTTCATATTTTCAAAAACATTGTGAAATAAATCAGAAAATAATTCATTTCATCTGCTGTTTCCTGTAGGTGCCTGACTACCTCGACCACATCAAGCACCCGATGGACTTCTCCACCATGCGGCAGCGCATTGACGCACAGGCCTACAACAACTTTGAGCAGTTTGAGAGTGACTTCAACCTCATTGTTGATAACTGCATGAAATATAACTCAAAGGACACCTATTTCTACCGGGCTGCCGTTCGCCTCCGAGACCAGGGCGGGTCCCTGCTCAGGAAGGCCCGGCGAGACGTGGAGAAAATCGGCTTCGACTCGGAAAGCGGCATGCATCTGGCCGAAGCTCCTGAAATCAAAACACCAGCATCCTTTTCTTGGGAGGACGGTAAGGGCGTTAGCAGCACAGACACATGCGTCTGTAACATCAGAGTCAGGGCAAGTGGATGAGAATGTGTTGAGCAAAACATGTCTCAGTCTCCTACTGATTGTTTTATTTCCCTCCTCAGTGGACCGCCTACTAGTGCCAGCCAATCGGGGGCATCTGTCTCTGGACAAGCAGCTGCAGCAGCTACTGGAGAAGTTCGACCTGACCTGCGCCATGAAGTCCAGCCCCTCCCGCAGCAAGCGCATGAAGCTGCTCAAAAAGACCATCAACGACGTGCGCAACGAAATGAGCCTAAAGAGAGTCCTACCCTCCCACCACCACCATCACCACCACTCTTCCTCCTCCACAGCTCCCTCAACTTCATCTTCAGCAGCTGCCTCCCAACCAGAGATTAGTCAAGCTAAAGAAGAGAGTTTGAAGCCCAATGGACATTTTCCAGATGATGAGGGTATGTATGGATCTGGCTTTATTAGAAAGCTAATAATCTGTTTGATGCTGTGCCCTGGGATTTTAAAGACAATCACATGTTCTTAATATCCTGAAGCACAGGTCAGAGGTCAGGGATTAGGCCCTCAACCCAAAACATAGCCTCACAGAGCAATCACATGCTATTCTCCGTACCTAGTGTTTCTGAAACTTGGTTGTATAAGCCTTGTTTACCCCACACAGTCCTGTTCTGTTCACTTTATAACACCTTCAAAGTAATTTTTGTGTTTTCCAAGTCAAAAGTCGTGGATGGCACCAACAGAACCGCTCCGTTCTGTCCTGTTTTTGTCACCACTCTGTTGAAGTACCTGGCACACTGATCTGATACTGAAAGGTGTAGCTAGAAACACAGCAGTCAGTTGAATGGTCAGTAGAGAATCATCACTCTTGCTTCACAAGGACTCAGTGCACAAACCAGCCTGTTCATTTTGTTCTGAAAATCTCGGCGTGCGTCCGCATTCCATGGACAATCAGCGAGCTGCAGGCGTTCCTCTGCATCACCAGTGAAAAGGAACTACAGTGAAAGCTGGATGGGAGCAGAGATATGTCTGTTACCATCCACTAACAACCCTGCTTACATAATAGAACTGTTTGCAGTGAAAACACCACACATATCAAGGGTTTAGATACGAGTACCTAAGAGTTTAAGGATACTATACTGAAAGTGTTTAATGGAAACACGGCTATAGTCATCTTCCCCGATTTCAGTACTACAACACAAGCTATCGTCCAGACCTCTAAATTGCCTCCTGCAATGAGACTTTTTAAAGCGATTCAAAGAAAACAAAACTATATAACATATAGTCATTATAAACCCTGTACTGTTTGTGTTGAGGTGTGGATCTGTCTGCCATTTCAGGGAAATTTGCTAAACACATGATAGAAGTATCGAAAGAAAAGCAGCGCTCATGGCTGTGAACATCAACCTTGATGTCCTAAAACTCAGATAACTGATAAAACCTTTGAATGTTTAAAGAATAATTACTGGTAATATTGTTTCGTAATGTGTAATACAAAGTTTTAGGGATATTGTCACACTTAAGAATATTTATTGCACCAGTAAGTTTTATCTTTCTCACAGAGAATGTGTCATAACAATCTGGAGTTCAGCTCAGAGTGACAACTCCTCCTAGATTAGTCACATAGTTTCAGTATGACTGAAAACTGTTCCAAGCAACTAGCAACAACAACATTCTTACGTCTAAACAAGACATTCTTAAACAAGAGTGTAAACGACCACCAAGATATATTGTGATCTGATCGTGATCTGATCCCTCAAACCACCTGCTTAAGTGGTCTGCGACATTTTTGACCATATGTCTATTGAAGTATAAACGCCAATGCGTCCTGAAGCGTCCCCAACAAGTAGTTTACAGGAAACACGTCACCAGTGCAGGTCATGGTGGCTGTTTTGGTGACTGTGTGCTTACACTATACAACTTGACCATTTTATGATGAGCTGGATTAAGTGTTGCATGACCGCTCCTCGTTTTGCCCTGCGGAAGGAGACGTATTGAATTCTGCTGACCAGCAACACCACCCCTGATGTCACTAGTGACCAGCTAGTGAGAGTGTGGACACAATAAGCCGTGACCCTCAAGCTTTATTGACGTGTGCAGTAAGAAATCTGAACATAAGTGGTCAGCTGGAGACGCATGATAGACACAGGAATGAATGAATGGCGGTTTGTCTCGGCCGTCCACTTGTGTTCAGATTAACAAAACACATTTTAACGCAGTGTAAACAGGCCCTCTGTTTAACTGATCCCTGAATGGGAGTGCACCTAGGGCTCAGAACCAATATCGTCCGCATCAGCAGACTAGAATCGCTACGGAAAAATGTGTAAACAAGGTCATAATACAGTATCACGCTGTGTCACTGCGGTCGCTTTAACTCGCAGCACACTTGCTGAGTCACATTAACTCTGGTGAAGATAGCATTATGATGAGCTAGTGGGGAAAAAAAGAAAGGAAAAAGTCATTTTGCACTCATTTTTTATTTATAAAAGTGCCTCTGTGTTATGCAAAACAGCGTCTTGTTTTACTTTTATGATAAACCCAAAAGCCATACGATAGTGTGCGGTGTCAGCATTTCTGCAAACACAAGGACAAAGTGTGGGTGTTGCAGCGCTTTACTGTTAGTAATAGCATTATACTACAGGTCGTATTTTATGTCTTTGTCATGGCTGCGCTTTTGTTGTATTGTTTATGGTTTTACTTATTATAAATATTTTTTTTGTTGTTGTTCTTCCAAAATAGCGTGCCAGGGATTTCATTATGCTCTTCTGCATAGCTAATCATTGCCACAATAAAATGTGTAATATTCTATCTCTACAGCACCACCAGGAAATTATAATGAGGATGGAAGAGAGAGGAAAAAATACATTAATGTAAATAATAAAACTGAAAGAAACGGATGCACTGCACCCAGAACCTAAAGAAAACAAATTGTGGTGCATAATTATCAAAAACTTTGCAATAACTGGAGCCATAGCATGAATATTATGTGTTGGCCGTAGTGGTTGCAGTTAATGTTGGCTGTATGGTCAATAGTAACAGTCTCTATCTTCTTCTTCTTCTCCCCTGCAGGAGACAAGTCTCTTCCTCCCAAACTGGAGCCCTCAGACTCCATTCCCCCTCTCATCCACTCAGACGCAGACTCCGAGCCCCCCACCCTCAAACCAATTGACGCCGCCCCTGACTGTGAAGACAAGCACCCCAGCAAGCGTGTCAAGTTCGACGGCGACATACCAGACCTGCTCTCCTCCGCTCCGCGCCTCAACGGCCACTCCCACGACAGCCTCCAGAGCTCACTGCTGGACGGGGACGTGAGCGTGGTGGCCACGTCGACCCTTGCGGAGCCCACGGGCACAGTTAACCGCCGGACGGCCGTGCTCTTCCGCAAGTCGAAGGCCGCCAGCCCGCGCAAGCCCCCGAGGAGCGGAGACGAGGGGGCAGAAGGAGCTGACAGAAAAGAGAGCAAGGCGGAGGAGGATGAAGACGGCGCGCAGCTGGGCTCCAAATCCTTCCTGTCGGTGGTCATTCCCAGGCTGGAGACGCTGCTTCACAGCAAGAAGAGGAAGCACAGCGGCAGCAGAGACAGCGAGGAGGAGGGGGGAGGAGAGGGGGAGCATGAAGAGGAGGGAGAGTCCCCTGTGAAACGACTTGACACTGGTAAGAAGTGTACACAGAAAAATGGGCTGTGATATTTATGCCTCTGTGCCAGCGACAGCCGCGGCCTGGGGCATTATGTTTTCAGATTGTCCGTCCTGTTCTCGTAAACGTAATACCTCACTAATGCCTTGAGGGGATATCTTTTTTCAGTTTGGCACAAACGTCCACCTGGACTCAAGGATGAAGTAGAGCTATGATAAGACCCAGAAAGCAGTCCCAACACTACATGAACCTGCATAGTTTCTGTTAAGATCCAAACCATAGCATTGGTTTTGAGCCTGAGCTCAATTAAAAACCAGAATTCCCACTACAAAAAATACATTTTTAAATTCTAAAAACATTTATAACATTTACACACACTATAAGGTCTACATTAAAACAAACAAACAAACAAAACACTTGGAAATTGGAGCAAACCCTATCTGATTCAAGTCCAGGCGAACCAGGGCTTTTCCGTTGCAACTTTGGCAGATCAAACCATGACTCGTTGATTTTCGTTTCCTTAGTCAGTTTAACCACACTGACGTATGCCGAGCCAAAAAAGCGGCCCAGTCGCCTCCACAGACGGGGTATTGGTGAGGTCTCGCCAGTCACAGCCAACCTCTAATGACGACCCCCTTTAACTCCTCGAGCAAGCATGTGTTGCGTGACTAAACTGATGTCTCTCTGTGCAGCATGGGTCTGAGATGTGTGTGAAGCATCCACGTTTTAGAATGTGTCGCTTCTTTGCTGCAACAACCAGATTTGAAGCATTGTCTCCTTGAGTAATTCTAAATTCTCAGTGTCTGGTTGGTGCCATCAGTATTTTCGTCATCTCACAGTATGTTGCAGATTTTCACAGTTGTCTGCATTTCTTTGAGTTACCATATATCAGAATTTGAATGGCATTTCTTCAAGGCTCTGATTAAATTAGTACAGCAGCATTTAGCTCTGCTGCCAAGCCCTGAAACTGGCAGTTCAAATATTGCAATTAGCTGTTACACTACTTACAAGTCATCGCAGTCAAAACAGCACAGCGGTAACTAACAACAGACACTTGTATACTCTGTTACATCAGAGGCTGATTAAACAAACTGTAACCAATGCAGACACTTTAACACTGGAGTATTTGTACTATAAATTTTCAAGATGAGTTTTAAATCTTTTTGCATTCTATTGTTTTGTGTCTATTCAGGCTTGTCGAGCGGTTTTCTGGAGGAGGAAGAGGAGAAGGAGCTAGAAGACTCTAGTAGAGCCAGTAGACCTGTGGAGCCACGAAGACGCTGTGCCTCTGAGTCCTCCATCTCCTCATGTAGCAGTCTGCCAGGAAGCACCAGGTAATCCGTCAGATACTTATGTGAATTTAAGCTGCTCTGTCTGTTCTCCCATCCTTCTGTTCAGTTAGCTGGTCATCAGAGCACCAGATGTTTAGTTTCTAAAGTTGACTCTGGTGTGTGTTTTTCTTTGTCTACAGCACAATTCTCAGTCTTCCAAAATGTGGGAAAGGGAAACCCGCCTTGGTCCGGAGAAACACTGTGGACGATAAGAGCGAATTAATCGCCTGCATCGAAACCGGGAATTTTGCAAAAGCTGCACGGATTGCTGCAGGTGAGTTGGCTGCTTTATGTGTCAAAAGACTCTGTGTGCATGTGTAAGGGTCTTTACATTATGTATACAGACTACCTGTTTTAGTCACTATTTCAAATAAATATGCAGGATTTTTCCAGTGAAATATTGATATTTAATTGGTCTCACTTCACATTATTGTTTTTGTAAACAGAAAATAAATAAGAGAACCTAAATTCCCTCAAATTTATTATTAATAAGATCTATCAATAAGTATAATATTGTCATTTTGTCAAATAAATATGAAAAAAAAACATCTAAAATAAAATAAAAAATCTCACTGGACTTTCAGTTAATACAAATTAGGATAAAATTTACATTAGAATGCAGGTTAAATAACAATTGTGTGCTGCAATTTCTTCAAGCTTATGAGCCAAAATGTACACCAATAATGATGTAATGTTAAAGGGACAGTTCACCCTGAAATAGAAAATACATATTTTTCCTCTTACCTGTAGTGCTATTTATCAATCTAGATTGTTTTGATGTGAGTTGCAGAGTGTTGGAGATACCAGCCATAGAGATCTCTGCCTTCTCTCCAATATAATGGATCTAGATGGCACTCAGCTTGTGGTGCTCAATGCGCCAAAAATTACATTTGAAAAACTCAACAGCAATGTCTCTTTCCAGAAATCATGACCTGGTTACTCAATAATCTACAGACATTGTTGTGAGCAGTTTCATGTAGGAACTGTTTCTTTCTACTGAACTACACCCGCCAAGGCATCACCATGCTGAAGGAAGTGTGCATCTACTGCTAGCTCATCTAGCATCACTGAGCTAGCCTCTTTAGTCTTGTACATGAGTAGATGCACACTTCCTTCTGCACTGTGATTCAACAAAATAGTTCCTACATGAAACTGCTCACAACAGGTTCTGTGGATTGTCTTGAGTAACCGGGCCATGACTTCTGGAAAGAGACATTGCTGTTGAGTGTTTCAGGTGTATTTATTTGGTGCTTTGGGCACCACAGGCTGAGTGCCATCTAATTCCACTTTATTCAAAAGAGGACAGACATCTCTACATCATCAATACATTTAAGACAAAACACAAAAGTCATTGTAGCCCATTGGAGTCAGTCTTGTCCAGACATCAGTGTGTCCAGGAGGTAATACATTACACTTAGTAGTTGTGTATATTCCTGGATGTCTGCAGGTGCTGTAAAAGCTGATAATGTCTTAAAGTTTTCCCATTGAACCGAAGATTGGCCTTTATATTTGCTTCTAAAAGTTTAACTCAGTAGAACTTGTGGATGCCTAGTATTCATACACATAAAAAGCAGGGTTGGAAATTAACAGCAGCTACCAGCCAGCTTCTTGTGACATTTGGCAGTGACCAGTGAGTCCTTATGCTCCTCCTGCCATCATGGCATGTAACCAGTCAGCAGCTGGAGATTCTTTCCTCATCTAGAATTTATGTTTGGCTGATAAAACGCGAGAAGTGGCTGGTAAATTTTAATATCTGTCCTTCATTGTGGCTCTTAAAGGGGAAAAGTTAATTTCCTAGCCTGATTTATTTATTTTTTGTTGTTGTTGTTGTCACTTTGTGCTCTTACACTTACAGCACCGCTTTGAAAATGTGTTTCTGTGTTTCAAACCCACATGTGACTTGTTTGGTGTTGTTCCCGCTTCCATAGAGGTTGGCAACAGCAATATTTGGATGCCCGCTAGTGCTGCAACAGTTGCATTGGAACCCCTAAAGCTAGTTTGGGCCAAATGTAGTGGATACCCTTCCTACCCTGCCTTGGTGAGTGTTTGTGGGAGAGACAGCACGACAATCACTGACTGAAGTCTGTTTTACTCTCAAGTTTTCTTGTCTTCTCTTCACTCTTGTCCCACAGGATGAAGTAATAGTTTTACTACAGCTGTTCTTTTAGGTGTGACAGTTGGGGGAACAATTCCCTCTTCTTCCTCTAGGTGGCAGCATTTCACTGTTAACCAGTTCAATTTGACCTTAGCATGAAAGGACAAATGAGGAAAGGAATCTTATTGCCACAAGCTGGTAGTGTGCATGCATTTGTGTGTTTTTATACAGTGGAGACATCCTTACTTTATGCTTGAGTGATTTTGTGGGTGGATGTATGTTTGCCATGCCTTTGCATTCATGAGCATCTGTGTGTAACGGCCTGGCCTCTCCCTGCTGTGCGCAGATCATCGACCCCCACATGCCGCGCGTGGGCTGCCAGCACAACGGGGTGTCCATCCCCATGCCCCCCATGGACGTGCTCCGCATTGGAGAACAGATGCAGTACAAAGCCGAAGAGAAACTCTACCTCGTCCTCTTCTTCGACAACAAGCGCAGCTGGTGAGTGCCGCCGCCGTTGTTATCTGTGGGGATGATTTAAGCTGATGCGGGCCTCTACAAGGGTAAACCTGTCAACATGTCCGTCAGCTGATCATTATTCTCTTGTGGCTGCGTCACATCAATTGTCGGGAGAGAACAAGAGGCAACAAGAGGCATTTGAGAATCTCACCTGGAGTCCCATCAGTGGGAAAATGTTTTTCAGTCTTTAACAGTGATGATGGTGCTGTAGCCTTTTGTCACAGTGGGAACTGGCTTTCTGTCTGCCACTTTGAATGAAGATAACACATCTATGAGTGACCACTTTAGACCTGAAAGTAACAAAATATTATAAAAGGAAAAGTCAAAAATATAGCAGATTACACCCATAATTCATATCATGACCTAAAGATATAATATTTAACTGTACACATTAAAATGTTCTGTAAAACAACCATGCCAGTGTTATATATTTTGTTGAGTCTTGTACTTACAATATCTCAAACGTTTCAAACGTGAAGGATTTCAATTATCAGATGTCGGGATCCTAAATTGTCGGAGAAACAAGCTGAGCAACTGTAGCAGCAGCTCGGCCCAAGCCCCTGCTGTACCAAACAGCATTAAAGAAACACAGATTTTTACAGTGAAAATGCTTTATGTAGTGTTTTTACCAGTTTAAATCACCTGGTCTGTTTGTTTTGGAAAGGAGGAGACCTGAGCGGATAATTCGGCTAAAGGAAAAAACCTCCTGGTCATCTTAATCTTTAGTTATTCGAGAAAAAGGGAGAGCACATTAGCAGGATCCTGACTAGCAGCCCCTCTGTAACAAGCCAAACAGCACTGGAAAAACACTGATTTTTAACATAAAACTGCTTCATTCAGTGTTTCTACAGGTTTAAATCACCGGGTCCATTTGTTTTAGAGAAGGACGAGACCTCTGCAGATAATTCGGCTCCTGATGAAAACCTTCTGAACGATTAACACTGAAGAAATTCTAACCAGGAGAAACTGACTGCAATGATGCTCCGCGCTGTTTTGATTTAGAAATCATCAGTGGCAGAAAATTACATGTTGTAGGGTTAGATAATGGAAATCAAGTGTATAAAAAGCTTTTTTTTTCCTTCTCCACCACCAACAATCAGTTGATTAAATATTCTTTAGTTCTTTTTGTTTGTCTTGGCACACACATCTTTCATCTTCCCCGTTTTCCGTCCTGTAGACTACTACACACACTTAAATGTAGCAGCCGCAGTAGCAATAGTAGTGTTTTTGGACTTTTGTTATTTTTGCTATTGGGAAAGTTAAATACCAGGAGCTGAGGCTGTGACGTTTGCCAGTTTTCTCCCATTTCCCTGCAGAAAACCTGTGATTAGCTTGATTAGACGTAGCTTGAGTGTTTGTGCACCTGTGTGTTCATGAACACATACGAAGCGTTCTTCTCTGAACAAGCTTTGAAACAAGCACTTGACGGGAAATGTCACAATTGTCATTTATCAAGGAGAAATTCCAAACAGTTGCTGATTCCAGCTTTTCAAATGTGAGGATTAGCTGCTTTTCTCTGTTTTATATTGTTGTAAATTGAATATATTTGGGTTAAGGACTATTGGTCAAACAAAATAAGCATCTGGAAGACGTCAGATTTTGTAGTCAAAACTATCCAAAAAATAATTGACAGCTACATCGATAATGACAGTAAAATTCCAAAAAACTATAGCAGTTAAATATCTAATAAAGTCAAACCTTAATATCAGGGTTGCAACTTACTATTATCCTAACTGTCTATTAATCTGATGATTATTTTCTCGGTTATTTGACTTCTTGTTTGGTCTATAAAATGTCAGTGTTTCCCAAAGCCCAAAATGACTTGTTTTGTCTTCTGTGGCTGCTACATTTGAGTGTGCAACCCAAAGATGCTCAGTTTACTGTCATAGAGGAATAAAGAAACTAGGAAATACTCACATTTAAGAAGCTGTTATCAGAGAATTTTGACTTTTCTTTCGTAAAAAAAAAAAAAGAAATTAGTTGGGTATTAATTTAGTTGATAAATAACTAACTGATCCTTGCAGTTCTACCTACAATACCATTATTGTGGTGTCATAAGTGGATCATCTTGTCAGCTGCAGTGGTTTCTTCCGTTTAAATTTAACACAAAAACAATTGTTTAGCAAAAACAAAGCTGAGTGCAGAATCTGTTAGCAGGATACTAACACTTAAGGTGATTGTCATTGTGATTTCCCACCTCAAATGAAAGAATAACAAACATGAGCATACAGACCAATTATCTGTCACTCTTTGTTTAGAAATCAAACTTAATTTACTGAAAGAAATCCCAGTTTTCTTGTGAGGAGAGAGATATTTTCCTGGAAAGCAATACTTCTAGATGGTGACAAGAGAAACATTCAATCCAAGCTACTGTTCAGGTGTTGTAACTTAGATTCTGTCTTTCCCCCTTCAGGCAGTGGCTTCCTAGATCCAAGATGGTTCCTCTGGGAATGGACAAGACCATAGACAAAATCAAAATGATGGAGGGGCGCACATCCAGCATTCGTAAGGCTGTCCAGATCGCCTTCAGCCGTGCCATGAACCACCTGAGCATAGTGCAGGACGAGCCAGTCAGCGACCTCAGTGACGTGGACTGATGACACTCGCTGACTTTCTCTCTCCTCACTCACAAACTTGTACCTCTCCTGTACCAAATACCTTCCTCTGCCCCCCACCTCCAACACTCTCTCTGTCTCTGCAGGAGACTCAAATGTTTACCGGGCACCTGCTGTAACAGGTGGTGTCTCTTCCTCATCCATTCCTACTCGCACACACTCCTACCACGTGCCGATGGGATACGGCTGCTGCTGAAATGAATGTGTCTATCTATCTATCCTCTCCACCTCCAGGCTTGTAACTGTGCTTAGAGACTGCTCTTTATGTCCTCCCTCCGTCACTCACTCCACCAATCATGACTGTCGTTTTCATTCATCATTTCAAGGTAAAAACGTTAGTGATTGATTTCATACATTTTGGTATCCTTACCAAAGGTGTCATAGCGTCAGGACTTTGTAGTAAAACAAGAAATAAATACAGATGTTACCTCTTATCTGTAGTGCTATTTATCAGTCTAGATTGTTTCGTTGTGAGTTGTCGAGTGTTGAAGGTATCAGCTGTAGAGATGTCTGCCTACTCTGCAGTATAACAGGACCCGTGTTGCGCAAGTTACTCTTAAGTAATAATATCACGTCACTTATTACTCCCTGACAACAGTAATTCCTGACACTACTCGTTATAATACTTTTCCGTTACGCCCCATAAAATTGGTAATTGCGTATCTCCCCAAAATTGTACCTTGGTGTGATTGTCAGGGTAATTGCCGTTAAGTGTAGCTAAGGCTAGATAGCTTCTACTTTACCTAGGGGGCTTCTGTTGCCTGTGACCGGTATTTTCCTGAGGCTCTGCACGAAGGACGGAGAGCAACATTTCATCCACCACAAGCTTCATTACTTCTTTCTAGCTACAGCTGTCCACGAGTAAAATCCAGTTGTTGTTTAGCCAGAGCAGGACTACAGCCAACCGTCACGTTGTTGTGTTCTCGGTTGCAGTAGCTAAGGTGTTACAGATCGGAGGTTTGAGGACGTGTTTTTCGCAGTGGAAAGAGTTTTAGTCAAACTACCTCGACACTACGACTACTTCCTTACTGCCCAACACTGAACAGAACTAAATGGCACTCTGCGTTTGGTCCTCAAAAAGCGGCAAAAATAAATTTGAAAATCTCAGCAGCAAAGTCTCTTTCCAGAAATCATGACCCAGTTGCTCAAGATAATCCACTGAACTTGTTGTGAGCAGTTTCATGTAGGAACTATTTTCTTTCTACCAAACTGCGCAGAAGGAAGTGTGCATCTACTCGTGAATGAGATGTTGACATTTATGGCAGAAGGAAGTGTGCATCTACTCGTGAATGAGATGTTGACATTTATGGCAGAAGGAAGTGTGCTGTAGATGCACGCCTCGGTTAGCTGATGTAATTTGGTAGAAAGAAAACAGTTCCTACATTACCTTGAGTATCCAGGTCCTAATTTCTGGCAAGAGACATTAGGTGTTTCAGGACCAGAGGAACTTTTTCATTCTTCAAAGAACCCCCCTTTTTGTAGTGTCGGTATCACAAGAATTAGGAATGATCGTAGTTTTTGAAACACCGCTTTGAGGGACTTTTTTAGCTCTTAGAGTAGGTGCTTTAGGAACCATGATCAACGTGAGTGGACAGGTATTGGTCCAGACGACATAGGTGTACATTGATTGGTTGAACACATCCAATGCAGCACTGGCAACCGCCATTTTTTTAAAAGCCCATTAGCCCATTATTAGTGCAAACAACAGATAACACAGAATACAAACAACCGTTGGTAATGGCAAAATTAATGGAAGAAAATACGCAAATGGACAAACACCTAAGTTACTGAGCATATATGTAACAATAGAAATACAATCTAGATTGATAAGTAGCACTATGGGTAAGAGGAAACATGTATTTTTTATTTTGGGGTGAACTGCCACCTCAACACTGACTGTTAAATTTTGGCTGTAGCTAACCAGTCCTTTATTTTGGCAGGTAGCTGATCATCATTTCTGTTACACGTTATTAAAAAAAGAAGTATCTAGTAGTTGTTGAATTAACTGATGTGGACAAAAACCAACATTTCTTGCCCCGTGTGAAGGCTTTTCAGTTGTAACCAAAGCTTACGTTATGTTAAGGTCACATTTGCATCCTGGTCCTCTCCATTTGAAAATACCTTCCTTTGTATTTAAACTGTAAATAATCTGTACAGCTGCCTGACACTAACTTATTTTGTAGTTTTGACATCAATGGGTACTGTACAGGAGTTTTCTTAGTATTTATACTTGATGCATTCTCGGCACTAACATGTGAGTGCTATTTTGACAGTGCTGTATGAACAAGAAGAATAAAAAAAGGTGCAAAAGCCTTAGTATTAATGAGATTAGGGCTAAAAATGTCATCTTTCTGAAAAGTATGAAAGTATTCCCTTTTTTTTAAGTTATTGAAGTTTATAATCATAAGCTTCCATTTGGCATTAATCCTTTTTGTATTAAAAATAGTTTTAGTATATTTTTGTTCATATATATTTATATGATTTGAATACACGGTTATCCAGTATGTAAGTCTCTGAAGCTCATACAGGCAGTCTGATGTTGTGGACCCAGAACGTATATTGTTCTCAAGAAACCAAAAATGTTGCTACCCAGAAGTTTTTTGCCGATTCATTTTTTTCTGTGTGACGTGTGAAATTGTTGCCAAAAAAGAAAACAAAAAAAGAAAAAAAAGTAAAGTGTATTTTTATGTGATACATCTGACTGTTACTTGGTTTTGCTGTAGTCGTAGGGAGACGTGCCTGCGGTAACTTATTGTAAAGTATTTGCATTACTTTATATCCAAGGAAAGACGTGCAAACTGATTGTGGTAAAGTGGCACATTTTGTGGTGGAAACTTGCCTTCTTTTTAAGTAACCTTTTTCTAACTTTTTTTGTAGTTGTAGACTTCAAGACATTTCATTTTATACTATTGCCTATTTTTTTTCTGGGTAGCATTGGGTAGTTTTGGTATATTTCATTTTGTACTTAACTGTAGTAGTTTTTTTAATCAGGTCATATGAAATATTGCTGGGACTGTTTTTTTTCTAGCAAAAAAATAAAAGATACAAATATGAACACGTGCTTTGTTTTTTTAATGTATCTCGGTGACAAGTGCAGGAATTTTACAATATAATACAATAATATTGTTTTCTTTTTCATTATTAGTCTTTAAGTAGCTGTTTTCTGGCGTTTAACTGCTCGTGTACTGTTTGTCCAAGAAACTTTGTCAGGAGATGTATGTTTTTACTTCGTCTTTATTCTAACATTATTCCATGATTTTATATAATTTTTTTTTATCATTATTATTATCTTTTTAGTTACTTCAGGGTCCAGCCCTATCTTGCCAGATCTTTCATCGGTCATTTACAGCAGAATGTAACATAAAAGTGTGTCACAATGTGTAATACAGAAGCTAAAATGGACCGATTAAGTAAATATAAATATAGGTATGAACATAAAGAAACATACAAAAAAGAAACTAAACTCCATATGAACCAGAATGTTGCCGTGTGTCTTAATGAAACTAATCACTTTAGAAACATGGGTAAAATAATCAGTAAGAAATGAAATAACTCAAAAGGACATCAATTCACCTTAAACTAAGACTGACCAGGTTTAATGTGCAGCATCCAATTTTCACATCTGTTCAATTTTATATAATTTTCAAAATGTTAAAATCTACATTGATAATCAATGGGAATTACATTCGAATGGCCTCCCACCATGAAATCTGCCTTCTCATGCATGAAAGTAAACCAAACTTTGCACATAGGTCCGGTCCTGTGCCAAAGTTCCTTAGCCAAAATTTTGGGCCAGTAGTCCTCATGGTGGCGCTACAGCAACCATCTTAAGTTTCACACTTAAAAATTCGTAACAAATCACTTGTATGTGCTACCACTTTGCAGCTTTCAATAAATTGTAGCTCTAGTCGAGGAGAAATGTTCATAGAATAGAAATCCTTCATTCTCATTGTACCAGTACAAAAAACTTTTTAAAAGCTATAACTGTACACAGTCCAATTTAAACAGTACAAACAAGTGACAACCCAGAAAAATACCTCCATCACATCACTAATTAATAAAACTAAAATAAATAATAATCAGTAATAAGAGGCAGATGTTATTGCACTTAATGTATGAAATGTCACCCACACTGGAGAATGAGGATTAAGACAGTTTATGACAGTCATAAATCACTTAATATGTTGTGACATAGCAGGAATTATGAGGTCTGTCACTGTTTTTCACAAAAACTGTTAAAACTAATTAATCCAATTTTCTCCCACATTTTTCACCCAGTCAACACCAAAATTGCTTCACAGCATCTTTAGACTGTCCTGCACAAACAATCAGTCAGATTTTTGAAATATTAAAAATTGAGCCCACCTAGTGATGGCCTTGTCAACAGCTGGAATCACGCTTCTTCCTGCGTGCCGAGTTCGGGCCACTGCTGGGCCAGGTCATTTTTGCCAGCTGGGCATAGTGCATCACTATGTTTTTTTGTAAACAGTATTGTAAACAGCTACTGCAAATCCTCATGAAGTAAATGTCCACAGTTAATGAAAAAACTGACAAAATTTAAAGTCTTGGTTGATGTAGTCGTGGATTTCAGAATTGTGTCTCAAAAACTGAATTTGAACTTTGAATTCTATCCATATTAAAACTATAGCAGTCAATGGAAATAACCTTAAAACATCAGTTTGTCACCTTAAGGAGCAATCAGTCTTTGTAAATAAATAAATTCCATACATTTGTATATTGTCATGGTGAAGTACAAAAATGGTCAGAATTTTGTCATTTTGTATGTTTTGCATTTTCTTCAGGCAATCTCGTAGCTACTTAATTCTTCACCTTCCTCTCTATGGTTTAGATCAGGGGTCAGCAACCTTAATTATCAATGGAGCCATTTTTTTTTAACCAAAAATATTAAAGAAAAAAAATGCCTGGAGCCAAAAAACATACTTGAGCCTTTTGGTAACATAGCCTACTAAGTCTACGTTAGCCTATCGACATTGATAATAGATCTACGTAAATGAGCATTCAAAAATAGGTGGCAGTCTGCAGTGGACTATTTATGATTATTTGGTACTTTAACTTTGCAACATTTACAATGAAAACAAACAAATCTGTCCATGCACTATTACATTCTCTTTTTTTCCCTTTACTTTTTCTGATTTGGAATCCATTGACTAGCTCAAGGAAGCTCAAGATTAGCCACTGCTGTTAAGGTTTGGCAAATCTTAGAGGAAAAGGTGCCAGGCTAGACGTATGATGCACATTTTAGCTGATGAAATGTTAAAACTTTTTTTTGTATTCAGTGAATAGGCTACACATTGATAGAACTGAAGAATGTATGAATTTATTTAGGCTCTCCAACACTGATAAATAAAAACGTATTCATTGTCATAAGAGTTTTGGAAAGGGGCTCCAGAGCCACATGGTTTGGTTTAAATAAATGTGTAAAACATCCACAAACTCACTGCTAAAGTAACAAAAATGAAAAAAGCCAAAATTCTAATTTAATTTGTCATTAAATTTACATTTTTAGACTAATCTTGGGCACAAGGACTCAAATTCTCCTCAAAAGGACTGAACCTCCTTCATGGTTGGCAGAGGGCAGACTCTAATTCAACCTATCAGCCATATGGCACTGTACCCTGCTCATCTCCTCAGCTGATGATTATCCACTTAAACAGCTAATTGTGTCTTATACGTTGCCGGGTATGTAATATGGGCTTCTGCAGTATTCCAGCAATTTTATCTGAAGTTTTGAAGATATGATGTTATAATGGAAGTTCATGAGCAGAAAAATGTGATTCAGTTTTGAGTTTAAGCTGCTCTGACATACGTGCAGCCACAGAAACCTTTCAAACTTAAAAAGCTTGCGACACTTTAACCTTTCAAAGTTGTAATCAGGGTCTTGATTACTGTTCCAGTTTTGGAGCAGTTAAAGTAAAAAAGTGACTTGTTTTTACAGCTGTAAAGAAAGTTCATCAGCTATGTGATCAGCTAATGTAAATCAGTGTTTTTCTAGATCAGAAAACATGTCCTTAACTGCTCTCGGCTCCACAGGCTTCACTTGACAAGAAAATGTAACCCTAAAAATGTAGCCACATGTCTAATCACCCCAATCAGGACTTGGGTCACAAGGTTCTGAGTTTGATTCCTGCTAAGGGCAATGCACACCACAACATCGCCCTGATAATTTAAAATGGTTTATTGGGCAAGATTCCCACAAGAGTTTGTTAGATTTAAACTTTAATTAATAGGTAGAGCACTGGGACGCATTCATTTAGCTGCAGGCTGACTCCCTCTTGTTGCCTCCTTTCTTAAACTTTTCCATCCATTTAAACACTGTGTACTTATTGTATATCATCATGCTCAGCTGCTCCTGCTGCCTTTAATATAGTAAATATCAGAATAACAAGCCTTACTTTTATTAGAATTTATAGTTGCACAAGTTCAGAATTTAAGCTTTTCAGCTTTAAATACAAAGATAGTCCTGACGACAATGTTCTGGTAATTGAAGTTGGTTACCTTTGCACTACTTCCTTCTTTATCAAGTTAAAACCAAGGATGCTTTCACACCTGCCCTGCTTGGTTTGGCTCAATCGAACTCAAGTGCGTTTGCCCCCTGAGTGCAGTTTGTTTGGGCAGGTGTGAACACAGCAATCGCACTCGGGTGTGCACCAAAACAACCAGACTGAGACCTTCTTGAAGAGGTGGTCTCCGTCCGTATACATTTCAAACTGTATGGTTTGACTAAAATGAACAATGACAGCAATATAGTCCACGATGACCAGCGCTAAAATCAACCTGCGTAGTTGTCCCTCCATTGTGACATTAGAAAGTGTCACATTTATCTTGCAAGTGTACTCTTCTTCAACGTTTTGTTTACTTCCTGGATTTTTCCCACATGGAAATTCTGACCAATCAAGAGCAGCTTTCTCACGCAGGGCATTTTATCTGGTCCGCTTGTAAATGCTGCCGTAAGAACACAAACTAACTCTGGGTAATTATGCAACTTTGTAACTAAAGTAGTCCCTGATTCAGACCAAAGCAAGTTACTCTAGGTCTGAAAGACCCTAAGACTATATGTGTGGAAATTGCTCATATGACCATCACTTATTAGACCTCTTCTTGACACTGTTTTTTTCTTCTTTTTTACTTTAAGCCTCTGTGCCAGCCATAGCCGTGGCCAAAGGCATTATGTTCTCGGGTTGTTTGTATGTACGGACATCTGCACCATTCTCGTGAATGCCATGTCTCAAGAACACCTTCAGGGAATTTCTTTGTATTTGGCAGATATGTTCACTTGGACTCAAGGATGAACTCATTGGATTTTATTGGTCAAAGGTTGAAGGTCACTGCTACCTTGCACCCATTTCATTGCTGTGAATCTGATATTTCAAGAAGGCCTTGAGGGAATTTCCTCAAATTTCGCACAAACGTCCACATGGGCTCAAGAATGAACTAATCACCACAGTCACCATGACCTCACAAAACATGTTTTTGGCCATAACTCACAAGCGCATGTCACAGCACCGGAGAGCCAGCTCCTCGGGTCAAGACTCAGCCCATTTACATCTAAAGGACAAGGGACAGTCGAGGACAGCAATGTGCACATCTTGGGCAGAGAAGACAGATTGTTTGAAAGAGGCATGAAAGAACCCATTTACGTCAAATTGGAATGACCATTGTTAAACAGAGGGGATGGCCTACGACACCACTTATCACCCACCTGCAACGCAGTCTTGAGATCCCTCCCCAGACGACTTAACACCCTTCACACCTGGACCCATCTAATCCTAACAACACATGATGGCCTGGTGGATCAAAGACTCACATGTGCCCTTAAAGACACTGAAACTCAGAGCTCACATGTGACCTCAACGACTCTGTAACGGTTCACACCCACACAAAGTTTAAAACCTACACACCACTTCGTTAGAACTGAGGAAGCCTCTTGGATGAGAGGTGGAACGTCTTCAAAAAATTCAAGCAAGTCCATTTGCCAACAGTGTAGCACTGAAGGGTGAAACTTCAATACTTTAGAATATGTAGCTTCTTTGCAGC